CAATGGCGGACATCAATGCCTCCCCTGCAGATACGGCATCGCCTGTGCAGGACGGGAGGGCATTGATGTCTCCCAGTGTACCTGTTACTCTTCCGATCTCGATTTTAGACGCGAATTAATTACCCTAATCCCCCATACTTGGTGAATGCAACTCGGCCGCAGACTTCCGCCTTTTATCAAGAACATTTGCATTGAATTAGATTTAACTATCTGGTCTGCGGGGATTTTCATTGAGGGGAGCAAACGACCGCGGAGAGATCCTCGGTTTAACTCGGTCGCGGCGATTCGCTTTACGCATCCTCGTCCTTTCACTGCTCGCGCATTCGCAAAGCGTCCAAACGACTTTCAGAGTCGAGCGGAATGGAGCACGGTAGGGGATTACACACGAGAGGGAAAGAGAAAGGGAGAAAAAGTCCTCCATTCTGCAATTTCCGGCGGTGCCTACGTATTCGCGCATATCCGGCTAGAACGGACAGATCGCGCAGGTGGCGCGCATTGGCGCGCATGGACGCGCATAGGCGCAAATGCTGTGCTCTTGCACTTTTACATCGGTAAACGTCACTAGTTGCACTTGTACCCCGGGTATATCGCGAGTTCGGAAATTAGGTGTTTCAAAGAAAGGGACATTCTTTTAACGAAAGAGGGAGCTCGTTCGGACATGGTGGCAGAAAGTAAACGGATGAGCAAAGTTCAGAAAGCGGTCTAATCATTTTAAGGCCTTCGCACATGTCTAACAGTAATCACAAGTATAATGATAAGGACTGGTCAATTAAATTTCAGGAAATTTAATATGACGTCCTGTGTTGGAAATTTAATTGACGGATTTTTACGGCCGCCGTTGTGCTGCGTTTACGCGAGAGATGAATAAGTTAGATGAAGGTGGATTGACGCTTTTTTTTTAGTAATAACCGTGTTTCGTTTGCAACTAATCGTGAATTTTGTAAGAAGATTGGTAAAGAATTTGGATCTAAAATGTAGAAACTGCATAGTGTTGTAACGAGGTGGACGGATGAGAACTCCTTATTTGTACATTTCTACGGCCCTGGAAGCGCGATGGTTCACTTGAGCGAACGCATCGAGGATTCGGTCAAAGAAAGTGTCGAGCACATGTGGGAATATGGACCGGCAAAGGCGAATCGCGCGAGCGAGGAAAGAGGAAGCCTGATTACTAAGCAAGGACTCTGCTATATCGAGTCCACCGTGGGCGATCCACGCGTGGGCCTCGATCCTTTTGTCGAGTCGGTCACCGATTCGCGATACGAGAGAAACCTCTGAGAACCGGGATAAAATGAGTAAGAAAACCTGCCAGCACGAGGAGGGCACTTCTAGAATTAGTAGGACAAAATTAATATAAAGTGTGCGGTGACATGAGATGCTACCTGCACTTTGAAGGAAATTATCGCATTCCCGTGGAAAAACAGAAATACTGTAATCTGACAATATATGATTGGCCATTCCTGGATATTATTAAATGTACTTTTCAGAAACACTCGTGGACAGGGGAAACTAACAAATTTCCCAGGGTACCTTAGGGTGTTAGTATTAACTAACGAGCATCTCTTAGAAAATCTAAATACACCTCCACCTTGCACTAAGGCCGCGTGACGCGAATCCGCAAGACGACACCCTGGACGACGCGACAAACTTTTTGCGGGTCCGTCTTTAATAGCTCTTTTCATGTAGTAAATGATGTCCCAATAATGTCGTGGCAGACAACGGAGGAGTTTCGATCGAGGATTTTGTGCATCCACGTGTCCCCGCGTCCCTTGGACCGAGTTCTTCTCATCACACCCCTTCTGGCCAGGGCACTTCTAAATCCTTTTTAATCAGACCTTTTCTAATCAGGTTCCAACTCGCGACCTTAGCGTCGCTAATAAGAACCAAACTCTGGTTTTTCCTACCGATCGCTCCCAGAACTTCGCGCTCTTCATGGGAAGTCCCTTGCGCGCTTACCCGCGCGTCCAACGACCGGCACGAGAAGACCTCAACGGCCCCAGTGGAGGTAACCAAGGACGCGAGGACGCCTCCTTCGGCCGACGCGCGGGATCCCCAGGGGAAGACGTTCCTAGAGCATAGTCGAGATCCGGTGTCCGTCCATCGCTTACTTGGCCCGATTCCGCGAGATCGTAGAGGCCCTCGGAAAGATGGTGGTGTCCCATCGGGAGACAAGCATCTCCTCCAACATCCGGGCGATCATCGAGCAACTTAACCTAAACCCCGTGGAGAGCAGACGATTCGCGGCTACTCGCCCGAGGGATAACGAGTCTCGGAAACCGGCCAACGGTGCCATCCCTAGGATCAGCATCGGCATTTACGGTTGCAAGGATGCCGATTACGAGGTCTGCGTCGACTCTGGAACCGCCACTCCCGCGGCGAGAGGAAGAGAAGCCTCGTCAGACCAGGTTGACTCGGCCCCTCGTCTTCCCGTGGGAAAAACGAACGACGTCGTCGAGGTAATAGAGTAACGGGAGCGTTTTTCCGAGATTCATCCTCCAGGGTTTATGGACCCCACCGCAGCTGATGGTAGAATTGTAGAAACTCTTGGAATGGTGGCCTAGGTCAGCCTCCTGAACCGATCGATGCATTTATAGGATTACTCGATGCGGCCGTGGTCATATGTTGTGTATGCATATGTGCGGTTATATATAAGATATTTCGCGTTTTTTTTTCCCTGCCACAACGTGGGTGTCAAACTTCCCTGCAGATAACACACGGAATACTAACGTATAGATCTCATTTCTTTCTCTCTCTTTAATGAATTTCAAGACTTTTCATTTGGTTTTATAAGATTTGACGAACCACTAAAGCCTGAACCGATCGATGCATTTATAGGATTACTCGATGCGGCCGTGGTCATATGTTGTGTATGCATATGTGGGGTTATATATAAGATATTTCGCGTTTTTTTTCCCTGCCACAACGTGGGTGTCAAACTTCCCTGCAGATAACACACGGAATCACAAATTTGTCGGAAGTGTTAAATCAGAATCAGAAATTTTTAGGAGATTTTCTGACTCGCAAAAAATGCACGAGGAAGACGACAATTTACTTGCACACCGATATCGCGAATTGTTATATATTTCTGTGCTTAATTCCCGATTATATAAACGCAGCGAATCACCATCGTGCCCTGGGCGAAAAAACCACTTCCTATAGAACAATAAAAAAAGGAATCAGTCGCAAAATCATTTCCACTTGATACAAAATTGTTATCGGTTGACTTAAAACGTTGATGACCCTATACAAAACCAATTTCCCTGGGGGCAAGAAATATCATTAGCAAGAAACATTTAAATTACCGCAAGTAATTAATTTTGCCGAGAAAGTGAACTTTTCAGTTATAATACGCCACTTAACTGGCTACAATTAAACCCGATAATCTTCTTGAAATGCGCCAAGGGATACGTGACTCAACCGCGTATATTTTTTTAGTAAGTGCATCCTCGGATTCAAAAGAAAGAACTTATAATATCTTATGAAAGCTTTCTATGACATTAATCTGAACTCACTCAGGATATGTATTAATTTTTTTTCTTTTTCCTTTTTATTCGAGAGAGTCGCATTCAATCGAAAGGGGAAGCAAAGCAGGTCCACGGGAACCTGGCGTTCCGCTCCCGGAGAGGTCACAAAAGCTAGGCACCCTCGGCACCTGCAACCGGTTTTCATGATCGCGGTTAAGTGGTCGCACTTGGAGACCGGACAGTACCCGGTACCGTTAGAACTCTTGTAGATATGCGACCTGCCAAAGTCCCCGACACGGTACACAAGTTATGAATTATTCCTGGATGGCCGCTCGCCGCCAGCGGAGATTACTTTCTCGAAGTAGGTGAATCCCCGACTCCGAAGATGCTTGCCGACTGACTCCCTCTTAGGGATTCTCTTAATACCTCGTAAACAGAAAATGAAAACCTTTTCCCAGGTCACGGAGTCCTATCGATTCCTAATCTTCTACCGGTGATTGCCCGTTGTTTTAGAATATCAATTATCAAAACACGTTTAACATTTTATTCTAATATCGGTTTCAAAATAGACCTCCGTATAAATAATGAGAAACGTTTTCCTGATTGTGACTGTTGTTTTATAATAGCCCGTTGTTTTAGAATATCAATTATCAAACACGTTTAACATTTTATTCTAATATCGGTTTCAAAATAGACCTCCGCATAAATGATGAGAAACGTTTTCCTGATTGTGACTGTGAAGGTTGTTATATTTTTGTAAGGTCAAACTACGATGTTTTGCTCGAAAAATTCAATGAGACCTTTAAGGTGAAGTGAAACCCCCTTCAAATCAGTCGATTCGAATACAACACTTTTTTTTAAGGGTATTAGACCAACCTGTCCGAAACTTTGACACGTCACTCCTGATCATCTAAGAATTGTCCTGACACATTCAAAATTTGGATTTTTGTAAAAAATTTTTTGATAACGCCGTTTGACATTATGAATCAATGCCAACTGACGAGAGGGTGACTCTCCCTGCATGTACAGTATTAATCTTCGAGTTTTTTTTTCTGTTATAAAGATAAATTACAATTAACCCATTCAAAGCCGGTGAAGTACCACGTGCGTCATAGACAGAACTTCAATACGTACAGAAAAAAAAGTTTCCGCCTCGATTGGGTTATTATAAGACTATTCTTAATACATCAATTCTTTGTGCTTTTTTTTTTAATTCAACTTTGTTTAAAGCAGGTACTGTTCATTATGCCACTGTTACGAAGAAAGTATGTCAAGTTCGTTTTTAAATATTAAATGTGTATTTATTTGAAAGGAGGTTTTCCTCTGCACGTATATTCTCGGTTATCGCTGATTTCGAAGGTCCCGTTCGCACGTAGCGATTAGCATATAGTAGGATAGCACACATTCGGTGGGAATTGATAAACCAGGTCAATGATTACAAGAGTGGGATGATTCGTCCCAAATTCAAATATGTTTAGCCTAATTGATCTGTTATTCTTGATCAGCTTGTAACTTTCTTTCTTTCTTTTTTTGTTACAGGTAACCAAATCACCGAAGGATGCTGGAGAAAAATCTGTCCAATCACCAAAGGAAGACTTGCGTGAGTTCCACTTCATTCTCGAAACGTGACATCTCATTTTGTCCTATTTCTTCTTCTCAAAATTCCCTCATAACGCTAATTAATTATAACTCCGTATTGTTCGACACCAGAAAACTAGTGACTCGGTAAAGAATTTCCTAGTTCCCTATGTACATGTAGAAACGAATAGCGTTGCTATTTTTTTTATTTACAAGAAAAACCTTATGAGTCTTTTCATGAGTGTTCAAGTTTACTACTTATATAAACTGCCAGAAAAAAAAAAAAACTATCATCGAATGAAACGTAATATGCCAATGTAATACATTCTTAAGATTGCATCTTACGCTGAGAAAAAAATTGTATTTAACTAAAGAAATATTTCTTAGAATGGTACCAAAGAAATCTTTTGTTAATTCAATTCGGAATTATTTACCTCAAATAAAGTCGAATAAATTGGATGCAAAGTATTTTCAGAATTATGACAATTTATTTGAGTTTATTTCAGTCAAATAATTAATCTTTGAATTGACATAACATTTCTTTGGTTCAATGAATTCTTTTTCTCAGGGTATAATAGACTATTTTGCCAAAGGAAGAACAAATGCAATAACAAATTTTTTTTACAAAATATTGCCTTCTCGTACATACTTAATATCATACGAGAATTTCCCTATAATTGAAAATACCTAATTAGGACGTGACTATTTTAATCCCTTATTAAAGTTCAACAGACAAAGCAGAACATTTCTAATTTCATTTTAACTTTTGTGAATATTTTATATTAATAAATTTCAAACAGTTATACGCGAGTTATATCATACGATATATATCATACAAGAGTTTCCCTATAATTGAAAATATCTAATTATGACGTGACTATTTTAACCCCTTATTAAAGTCCAACAGACAAAGCAGAACATTACTAATTTCATTTTAACTTTTGTGAATATTTTATATTCATAAATTGCAAACAGTTATACGCAAATCTAGTAAAATAGCATCGTTAACTGCGGCCCTTTCTTTAATCAAGTTACCGATCGATCATACGTGCAATTGTAGATTAAACCGAACTAAAAACTAAACTTTTTCAACTTCGTTGGCCACTTGTATACTTCTAGATGCAAACAATTTTGAAAATGAGTCTTTTCATAAACGTTAAAGTCTACTTTCACCCATCGACTGTCGGAGCGGCATGACACGAAGCCAGACGGGACAAAAGGCATGGCAAAATAATGCATTCTTAAGGTCACGTCTTTTATCCCTGACAGTGCCGTACCATGCACCTAAGAAAGCATTTTTTAGTAGCACGACTTGCTCTACTTCGACGCATACAGATTTTACTTCGCGGTTAAAGAGAAGTTACCGGTGGGCTACGCAGAGAAAGCTTCCGTTATGTATCACTTTGAAGAATCTCCCCTACGAGCGGACGAGTATTCATCGGCAGAGTGTGAGAGCACCTAGTTACAGGAACAATCTTTTACCCAGGTGCCGTGGGAACGTACGTTCCCGAGGTGCTCATTACAATTCATATGTCGACTACTAACTTAAAACAACATTCGCGGTTTCTTCTGCGCTCCGCTTAGCGAAGAAAAAAAATATCCCGTCTTCTCCTTAAATTATAAAATACTTTCTTGTCCAACCCCTTGAAAACGAATCTTTTGATGCATGCGAAACAGGTGTAAAGCGTCAGTTTGAGGTCACACTGCACATATGTACTTCGCGAGTGGGTACGCAAAAACTTTACCCTCACTTCGCCGGAAGTAAGCGAAGTCGCTTCATGAAGTTATTGCTCCGCATGCTATAAAAAAATCCTGTTTTCAACAGGAGTTGGATAAAAAGTATCGGATGTGTCCCGGGCGAAAAGTCATTTTGCTTCGGGTGATCGTCGCCCTCGCTTTGCCCTCGTCAAAATGACGTTTTTTTCACTTGCCTTCGACACACAATGTACTTCGAACCGATTTAGAATTCGCATTAAGGTGAAGTGAAATCCCCTTCAAATCAGTCGATTCGAATACAACACTTTTTTTTAAGGGTATTATACCATACTGTTCGAAACTTTGACACATGACTCGTGATCATCTAAGAATTGTCCTGACGCATTCAAAATTTGGATTTTTGAAGAAAAGTATTTAACTTAGCTTACACCAGAACCAAAATGGCGTCGAGCTCTCATATTTCGATCGATATCCAATTATTGAAGGCTCTGATATGAGAAACGAAAGGGACAGGACAATTTTACGACAATTTAGAACACTCTGGTAGTCGATAAACTGGCATTTGAACGGGATAAAGGCAAAAAAAGTGTTGTATGCGCTTCTATGCTAAAACGATGGGAATACGAGGTTTCGGAGTGAAAATTTAATTGACCTGGAAATCACAGATGGCTCAGGGGGTCCCTCTGCAATTAATTAGGGCCCCGGAAAACATGAATCCAGAGGATTTCTGGCGTTTTACTTCGATTTGCTTATAATTATTGTACGAAAACGACAGGTGGATTATGCCATTTGGTACAATACCCAATATAATTCGACCCAGCTGTCAATATAAAAACGAACGTCGGCAACGTAGGCATTTAGAATAGTTTTCTTTATCGATGTTGATCAAGTTCCTCGACGTGTTTCACTTCACCTTAAAATGGCAGAGACGTTATATATCTTGACTTGTTTCACGTAATTTAATGTTATGTCCTAGGGTCTATTGTAATCATCTTTTCCATTTTCCAGCGCAATTGGAGATCGCCAGTTTGAACCACACGGCCGCTCTCCACCGGATTTCCGTGCGGCCGAAGAACAGAAGGCCGCCTCGACGCACGGCGCCGCAAAGCAGCCCAGCGTCCGTCGTCCCGAGCGTCGCGACGATCTCGGAAGCGTCCGATACCCTGGACAGTCTGGAGCCGATGAGCAGCACCGGGAGCTGCGCCGACTCGCCGATGGAGTCGAAGCCGGTCTCGTTGCTACGGAAGTCCTCGAGCCGGCTGTCGAGGACGTCTGAAATCTTCGAGGAATTGGAGGCCAAGCTGCCAAGGAAGCCACCCAGCGTAACCTCGTTGTCCCCGGACAGCCTGGACACGCCGGCGACGAAGAGTTGCGAGGTACCCGAGCACGTCGAGTCGGTCGAAGTCAGACAGATTTCCAGGAGACCGTCGAATCGCATCTCGAAGGGGTCCGACGTGTTCGAGGAGCTGGAGGCGAAGCTGCCCTGGCGCAGGTCCTCGTCGAATCGGATCTCCAAGTCACCGGAGAGCCTGGAGAATTCCCGGTACTCCAAGTCGACCGAGGGTTTCGAGAAGCTGGTGGAGGACGAAGAGGCGAAGCCGGTCGTTAAGAGGCTCCTGAACCCGATCTCGAAGTCGACCGACAGAGTCTTCGAGTCCTCGGACAGCCTGGAGGTGGCGGTGGAAGAGCACCAGGTCGAGCGCCGCAGGAGCAGCTTCGAGCTGCGGGGCCGCAGGTCGGCCAAGTCCATCTCGAAGTCGATAGAGAGCTTCGAGGCGCTCGAGGCGGAAAGCGAGCTGCAAAAAAGGAGCAGTGCCTCGGACGTGAACCTGGCCAGGGGTAGGAGATACTCCAGGAGCGTTTCGAAATCCTCGGACAGCTTCGAGAGGATGGAATCCATCGAGGCCGCCCCGGAGCCGGCGATCGGGTCGAGCACCGACCCTCCGGGTAGTCGGAGCTGCTGGAGACCCGCGAAGAGGGCGGCAGCGTCCTCCGAGAGCTCGGACAACCTGGAGGCCGAGGACGAACTCGAGAACCGCAAAGTCAGGCGGCCCCCGAAGCGGGTACCCAGCACGAGCGTGGTCGACGTCGTGCCCTCGGAGAGTCTCGACGACGAGAGGAGATCGAGCACCCCACCTGGCAAGCCACCGAGGCTTCAGAAGTCCTCGGAGAGCTCCGAGCTCGGCAGCACGGATACCATCGACTCCGAGAAGCCGAACAAGCTGTCCGACAGCACCGAGACCCTGGACAGTCTGGAGAAGGACCTCGAGCAGGACAGGAAGGAGGAGGAAATCACTGACAACGTCGTGGAGAGACGCGAGAAGAGCGTAAGTCTGCTCGTCGAGGTCGGGGAGCTTTACTTAAATTTTTTCCCTAGCGGCAGAGTCCATTGAGCTAATTTTCCTATCTTTGCTGATTTCCAGGATGCCTGGGCTGCCAAAACGGCGGAGACCGCTACCGTGGATAACTCGGAGGAGGCGAAACCTCTCATCTCCGACAAGAACTATTGGCGACGATCCTCGGACACGAAGGAGAACATCGACATCCATCAGCTTCTCGCCATCACCATCGTCACGAGAATGGCCGATAACGGGAACCAAAGGAATTCCGTCATCTTCCCGAAGAAGAAGCTCTCTTCTCCACCGACCTCGCCGGTCAAGCAGGAGGACAATAAGATGCTCTTCAACAATCTCCTGGCTAGCAAAAACGACGAGGATTTGCAAAACATGCTCAATGGAAACATATCCGAGGTGTCGACCGACACCAAAAGCTTCAAGGAGAAGCTGATCATGTTCGAAAAGCTCGGCAAGTGAACGGCCTCTGTTCTCGTTTCGGAAACGTCTGGTCCAGCTGAAGATTAATCGTTTGTACATAACGAGGGATTTCTTTTCTTTCTAGAGAAAGCCTGTCCGACAATTAAATGGTCGGGACAATGCGATGACTGTGTTTAAATTAAAGTGTCTCGACTACTCACGCGAATGTTGAGCAGTTGACTCGGTCGGCCAAAATCATGCCAGGAAAAGATATATCACTTTAATGGCCTTTTCGTTAAAGACGTACTCTTCGTATCCAACGGATTTTTCTTTCCTCTCCTTTTTTGTACATCTCTCGATTACTTTTACGCATTATTTAAATCACTGGAGTGTGCGATTATCTTCGCACGACCTTGAAAACTTAACGCATTTCGTCGATTCGGGAAATGCGGAGGAGAGATACGATTATTAACACAGGCTGAAGAAATGTGTCACTTATTAATTGAGGACGAGCGCATTTCACTGAGATTCTGCCGGAAGCTTCGCGTGCGAGGCTTTCGCACCCAGTATTACCCCACGTAATTGTAGTGGCATAACGTGTTTACGATCACACGTTGTTAACACTCTAGGACTGTAGATGTAACGAATTGTTGTACAGTAGAGTAGAGACGGTCCCAGGGGATCGACTATACATACTTATACATACAAACAATAATATTCTGTGTAAATAAAACTTCGTGTAATATACGTCGCTGAATGTTATTAAAGGTCTATCGCGTTAACGGGTATACTTCCTCAGACTTTCTTTAGCGTTTACTCTGAGGGCAATTATGTAAAGTCATGTCTAGTCCGTCTTGAAATTGATTTAAACCATGAATTCTCCATTGCGATGTGTAATTGGCCTAAGTGTTTTCTACGAGAAATTTTATCTTGGTTTATTCTACGGAATATCGGTACGCGCAGAATTGTCTTTTTGTTGTAAAGGAATTAATCAATTGCGATGCAATTTAAATTCTTTCACAGTCCACAGACTTTGCGCGGTGTCTGGATAATCAATGAGCGATTGTATCGCGATTCGGTGTAAAAGAGCTCCCAAAGCCAATGTTGTAATTGTTCGCTTCTTGGACGAGAATTTTGCGAAAAGATAATTTAAACTAGACCCACGGCACGAATGCAGTGATTGTCCTGCTTCCGGACAAAGCCTCTGCACCGTAAGATTTAAATTGCATGTTCATTTTGTTTTTCTTTTCCACAAAGTGGCACTATGTACACGGGCTTCTCGAGCTCCAAAGCTCCCTATACATTGATGTACCTATCTTAAACCTTCAAGTGCCTTACTAGACGGATTGATGATTCAGCCTGCTGAATTGATACGGCATGTTTTGCCTTTAGATAAGGACACGTTCATAGACTCTTGCAAACTTTGCCTAATACGGTTACTTCTTACATTTCATATCGAAGTGGGCAGTATCCGGATCCGACTGTGTTGTTTGTACCTCTACCTTCCCAATTCCAATATTTGACGCGATTTTCGGTTACTCGACCTAATATAAACCGGTTAAAGATTTCTGCATTGCTAGCGGCAATACTATTTGGAAATACTGATGTCCAGTTAACAGATATTACCCGTGCATGTAAAGCCCTAGCGTAAAGCATCGCTAATTGAATCGTGCGGAAGGTAGTTAAGCAGTCAGTATAATATTGTGAAATTATTCTAAGGATAAGAAAACGATTACACGCAATGTAAATAAAGCTGCCATCGATATATAGTTCTGACAGAAACGTATCTTTTCCTTTATTACCCAAATCCGTACGCGTTCGAAAGAGTTTTTAAAAAATTACAAAACATGATTTCCACAATGAGCGCTTACTGCTTTCGAAGTACAGTTGTTTATGTTCATACATACACGTCCTCGCGAAGACGTGAAAAGGGAGTAAAACCGTATTCCGACTCGCGTTGTCTTCGCGGTTTTTTCTTTTTTTTTCATTTCTTGCAAATTCGTTTAAAAACGTCCTTCAAAAGTTTGTCGTGTGTACGAAACGGGAATGTTAACAGTGATGTATGTTACGAGAGAAAGCGGCGGCAGTACTTCGCTTGAGCATATTGAACATAAAATTGACGGATTCAATTTATCCAATTTTTTAACTTTGACACTGGAATGACTCAGGAAATTGAGTAATTACTCGTTACGCCCCTTTGAAGCTACATCTGCGAGAATTGCTGTTCGCAAGGACGAATGATTAGCGTAGAAGATGTCCTGCTTATATTACCACTTTTCATGACCAACTTCACAACCTTTACCTTAAATAATATAAAATTAAAAATTATAGGATTTTCTGAAGAACAATCGATCGATACTTAATTACATTGTTACTTCTCTGACGCCAAGAACGGCTTTAAAAAGAAATGTGGAATTTGCGGAACGCGTAACCCATGACACTCTTGATGACCACTATGGGTCCGCCAATATTTAAACATTTCGTCAAAGTGACGAATTGTATTACACATTCCGTATTCGCGCTCATATGAAGTTGCTCCAATACATACATATAGCGGTTGTTAATCCCATAACAACCGTTCTAAGCTAAAAAGTTAATAAGAAATTCACAATTGCTAAGAAATTAATGACTTCTGAAAGTGTTGACTGTTTACAGTAACAGTTGCACTAAACTGTTGTACGAAAAACCAAAGGGGCGTACGAGTTCCGATTCTCATACGGTGTAGCTACTTTTTTTGGATCACAGACATTTATCCTTGTAGCCGTCCCTTCTGCAGGGGTTCAGTGTCCAAACTGTGTTTAAGTATATTTACTTATTGATAACAATTTACAATTCATCGTGTGTAGATTCCGAAATGGAATTTAAGTTGCAAACAGCAGGTGTTGAAAACTCCATAGCATACTCGCAACGACTAGGTTCTGTCACGGACACAATCTTATTTTCTTTACCACATATCAAGGTGACCACTGTCGAACGAGATGGACCATTCCAGCAGGTAAGACCTCTATCATATTTCATCTTTGAATACTTATTCCCTTCTGACTCAATCCATTCCTGCCAATGACCTAAACTAACATCACCGCCTCCTGACTTTGAACTCTGAGTGGCCTTTCCAAAGAAGCACAGAGAATAGACGTACTCCAAGTCGGTATACTCAAAGCACTCCCCATCCAAAGATGCAAATTCTTCTTCGGTACCATAGTCTCTCTCAATTTTTTCCTCTACAATTCTAATTTCTGTCAGTAAATCTTGCACTGCTTTTTCTGCCTCATTGAAACGGTCTCTAGCACTATTAGCTTCATCGATTAACATTTGCGTTTCTTCGTCGTAGTGAACTTCTGGTTCTAGTTCTTCGTGTTCTTTCTCGGTACTACTAGGATGTTGATTGTCAGCTTCAATCTCTTCTTCTTCCTCCTCCTCTTCTTCTTTATTATGATCTACAGTTTCTTCCGAAATATCATGTTCTTCTTGACTAGCACGCTTATACATATCTGAAACAAAATCAATTTTAATAAGGTCAAGAAGGAACATAGATAGTTTATTTGTAATAATGTTGAATGTAATTCATTTGATCATCAGATATATTCAACCTTTTTGTTACTGCTTATTTCTGACTTGCATTTGTTTAATCTAATCCAACTTGCAAAAGGTTGGTATTAGGCACATGGATATTAGTAATGCATTTACATTATCTACATATTTAAATATCTAATATTTTCTACTAGTGTTTTAAATAAAGATAAGGGGGAATAATAATTCTAACCTCGTTCAAGCATTGCAAATACTTTGATATTTGACCATGCCAGCTCAATAAATTCCTGCAAGGTAAGTTCCTTTTGATTGCTTAAAAAGTAAAGGGCCTCTTCCTCTGTAACAATGCCATTTCTATCCTTATCGAATGTTGCTCTAGTTTGAATTTCTATTAGAGAAACAATGCCATTATTATCGGAATCCAGCAACTTGAAATATTCTTCTGCTTCTGCATCCGTGTTCTCATGCTCGTCATCTTCATCCTTTGTTTCAGGAGTTAAATGCTCTGGTTCCGCTGGTTTGTACTTTTGTAATGCGATGTTCTCCTTTACTTCTGCCTGTGTTTTTAAAGCTTCCTTCTCTTTTTTTGTAAGTTCAGCTTCTTCGTAATCCGTCCGAAGCTTGACCAATCTAGTCTCAAACTCTCCTTTGATCTGTTTACCCCTGGTTATCATGCTTTGGCGAATCTTACTGCCTTCTCGAGCCAGCTCCGCTGCCTTCTGTGCTTCCAATCTAGCTTCTTTGCCGAGCTCGTGGCAATTGTCCACGCATTCCTTTCCAGATCCAAATTCATCGCTGGCATCGCAGCAATCACAGAATCCATCGTTGACCCATGCCGAAGGAATAAAGCTTCCTTGATGTCCGGCATTGCGACAATAAAATGAACCATTACTACATGCTGCAGTTCCTGGTTCGTCGCTACCATCACCACAATCGCAATAATCGTCATTAACATACGTGTAAGGAATTCTTAAACTGCCATCCAAACATTCAAAGTCTCGATCTGGGGAATATAAAGCCGTCATAGAAGGTGTTATACCCCGAATATGAAGTACCTGTGTACCGGCTACGTGGCATTGATATGAAACGTGGACAATCATCAAAATCAACAATTTTAAACAATCGATCATTGTTGAGTTACACAGCCGGGACTCCGGCTTCACGGATACGTCTTTAATTCTAACGGAACCGGGCTTTCTAAATCTGATGTCCCCTAATATTGTTTATTTAAACACAATAGAGATCGAGACACTCGAGATACGGGCGCAACATCGAAAATCTCTCACCCGCTAAAGTATCACCCATTAGAGGTTAACCCGCCACTGTCGCGCACACTTGCGCACTCTTGCCGACACTCGACGCAGTCCGTGAGTCCGGGAATTGTTCTTATTAATTCATAGAGAGCAGACTGAGTATATTCCTAAGTGGTCTTGGGACTTCCCACTTACCGCCATCTGTTTAACATGAGGTGCACGACATTTCAGTGGCTTTCATGAATGCCTTTTCTAAATATCTCGCTACCGTCTAGTGACATGGAACACAGTTTTACGACAGAGATGAGTTGGGAGATTGCTCACGGGCAGG